AAATCATTAAAGAAAGAGATTGAGGAAGACATTAGGAGATGGAAGGACCTCCCATGTTCAAGGATTGGGAAGAATTAATATTGTTAAAGTGACCATCCTACCAAAAGCAATATATAGATTCAATGCAATCCAATCAAAATCCCCGTGACATACTTTACAGAATTGGAAAAAAATCCATCTTTAAATTCATATGGGGGCACAAAAGATTCCAGATAGCCAAAGAAACCCCAAGGACAAAGAGCAATGCTGGGGAGGATTACTACACCAGATCTCAAAGCATACTACGGAGCCATAGAGCCATAGCCATAAAAACAGCATGGTACTGGCACAAAAACAGACACGTAGATCAATGGAACATCATTGAAGATCCAAACCTGACTACATACAATTTCAGCCACCTGATATTTGACAAAGGTGCCAAGAACACACAATGGAGGAAAGACAGCATCTTCAACAAATGGTGCTGGCAAAACTGGATCTCCACCTGTAGAAGAATGAAACTAGATCCTTGTCTTTCACCTTGCACAAAAGTCAACTGCAATCAATAAGTGGGACCTCATTAAACTAAAAAGCTTCTGGACAGCAAAAGACACAATCAAAAAACATGAAGAGAAAATTCACAGAATGGGAAAAAATCTTCACCAGTGACACATCTGACAGAGGTTTAACATCCAGAATATACAAAGAACTCAATAAAAACAGAGACTAGAGAAACCAAATGACCCAATTAAAAGATGGGCTAAAGATCTAAACAGAGAGTTCTCAAAGGAAGAAATAAAGATGGCTAAGAAACATCTCAAAAAATGTTCAACATCATTAGTAATTAGGGAAATGCAAATTAAAACCACCCTAAGGTATCACCTTACCCCAATCAGACTGGCTAGGATCAAGAGAACAAATGATACCAAATACTGGCAAGGATGTGGAGAAAGGGGAACGCTCATTCACTGCTGGTGGGATTGCAAACTCATGCAGCCACTATGGAAAACAGTGTGGACAATTGTTTAAAAACTAAAAATGGTAACACAGACTCCCTCATATGTGGCTCCTAGCACCAAATCCTTTTAAATTCCAGGTCCTTTTAATAAGATGATGATTTACAGCAGTCCCTTTTGCATGAAGTAACTACCATCATCACGACTTTGGCCTGATCACTAAACAGTCACAATTGGGAAGATGATGATTTACAGCAGTCCCTTTTGCATGAAGTAACTACCATCATCACGACTTTGGCCTGATCACTAAACAGTCACAATTGGGCTTGTTCACAGTTGTTCTCATTCATTAAAGGAGTGCCAAGCAGGGTCACTGGACCTTCACCTGAATATCCAGCCACTCTGTCCAGCCATTCTTCCCAGCCAACTAGTCCAGCCTTAGAAGACAAAAGAAATGAGGAAGAACCCAATAGAGGGATGCTTTTAGAGGCCCTTGTCAAGAAACTCCAGTGGACTCTCATATGAACATTTGAAAATTGCCCTGTTCTGACTTTTTTCTAGTTCCCTGTCTAGAACTTGTAATGCTAATTACTCTTGCCTTTACTTCTCCTTTACATCTCCCATTCATGATTCAAGGACTTTCTTCTCCCCTCTGAGACAAAAGTTATGCAATATGGGAGTCTTTTAGATAGACCCACTGAAGGAGTAACTCCAATTGCCTACCCTGCAACCCTGTTCATCATGGAGGAAGCCAGAGCAGTTGGCGTCCCTATTCCCTATTGGCAATTTGGGTCACCCCTTCAGAGGATGGCATGATAAGAATAGGAAGTAGGAATTGGCTAGGCAGTTAGGGTAAAAAGACCCCAAAGAAAAGTAGCCAGTTTCTGGGCTAAAAGTCAAAATGTCTTTGGGCCTGTTAGCAACATCTCTGTTCCAAGGCCAAAAACATCAAAAGTATTTGGGAACTTGTATCTAATCCTTAAAAGATTTTAGGGTCACCTCTTCAGAGGGGGGAATGTTGGAGAGGAGGGAGTGGGCATGGATTTGATCAAAACATCTTATATGCATGTATGAAATTCTCAATAAAGTTTTTGTAAAAGTTAAAAAAAAAAAAGAAGTGCACTATGTAGACCAGGCTAGCCTTGAACTCACAGAGATCTGCCTACCTCTGCCTCCCAAGTGCTGGGACTACAGGTGTGTGCCACCACGCCCGGCATGAACTGAAATCTTTTAGAGGTGACTGGATTATGAGGCCTGACCTCACGAATGGATTCCTAACTTAGTAGGCTAGTAGGAAGTTACAGGAACTTTAGGAAGTAGAGTTGGAAGAAGAAGGTTGTTGGAGGCATGCCCTTGAAGGTGTATTTTGTCCCCGGCCTTTCTCCCTTATTCTCTCTGCTTCCCAGGTATCATGAAGCAAGCAGCCCTGCTCCATCACATGCTCCCTTACCATGACATTCTGCCTTACTCAGGACCAGAAACAATGGACCAAGTGACCACAGACTGAAACCTTTGAAACCACAAGCCAAAATGACATTTTCCTCCATTTAAGCTGCTTTTCTCAATATTATGTCACAACAACACAAAGGTAACTGACAGCACTGTTAGTGTTCAGATTGTGGGATTTGGTGTCTTTGAAGGAGAAAAGGGTGCAAAGGCAAGAAACATCAAAGGACCTGGAGAAATCCAGTTCAAAGCAGTAAATACACAATACACCTAACTGGATAGATGCTACCCATACTAGACAATTATAGGGGTCTGCCACACAACCATTAGAATTTGCCAGAATAGTGGGAGGAGAGGATAGAATGAGGGATCAGAGTGTCTCTCAAAGGCCCAACACAGTAAATCCTAGCACTTGGGAAGCTAACACAGGACGATGGTTCAAGGTCAGACTCGGTTTTATGGTAAGTTACAGGCCAGTCTAGGTTACACAGAGACTTGCTCAAATAAATAGATAAATAAAGTTTCTCATAGAGAATACAAGAGTTACATGGGTCAGAGTTTCTCAGCACTGCTGACATCTGCAGGAGACAATTCTTTGTCACAGGAGGTGGTCCTGTGCATTATAGGATTTTAGTAACATCCTGGTCTTTACCAGGGATAGACAGATAGCAATAGCACCTTGTAAGCTGTGAAAATCAACATTTGTTTACGAACATTTAATAACTCATGGGGACAAAGTCCACACACACATTGAACACCACTGCTATAAATGAAATGAATAACAAACAGCTGCCAGGCTTAAGTCATTCTCTTGGTAAAATAGCACTCCCTGAACTATCAGACTTACTGAACTAGAAAACAGAAAGAACAGAAAGCCTTGTAGGGAAAATGACATGTTCAATTTTGGGTATGTCAAAATGTGGGACACTAAGTGGTAATGTCCAAAAGGCAGTTGGATATATGAAACTGGAACCAAGAAAAGAAACTGTGACTAAAGAAATAGATCCCCCCCCCAAAAAAAAACATCAAAGTATTAACTACATGAATACCTGAGCACAGCTTCTGCAAATCTTCAGCCTACATAAAATCCTCTTAAGGGATGATGATGATTACTCTCCACAGCTCTACCTAGTGCCTAATTAAACAAGAAGCCCTGGATAGGTTTAGTCTACTGCAGGGTAATACACTCATGCACAGTTTTATTTTCATCTAGACATACTTGCCATATGTTAAGGTCTTCAGAGGAAATCTGCACATATCTTTACTAATTGATATGCTGCAATAATTTTCCCATCTGGCATATGCTCCCTCTTTTGACTTTTTGTTCCCATAACCATTGTCCCATATTCTATCTGTTCTGAATAGGTATGTGTTTTCTTCTGTTGCAGATACATAATTAGTCAAAGCAGATGCAATTCTCAACATGGAGAATTACATACAAGTAAGCTTCCTCACATTATCATCAGAGAAAGTCTGAATGGGAAGGCTCAGTGTCTCCAAACAGATAACTTTTTACTCTTCAACAGAAACCTTTCTAACAGTCTGAATATTCTTTATTCAGTTCAAGAGCTTATTTTCCAGAGCATGTTTTAGACTGAGAAAATTTATTTAATATAATTTTCTAATAAATTAGAAGCATTTCTATGTATGTATAAGTTCATTTGTTAAAAAAAACCTATTCAAGGATCAGGTATGATAGCACACAGTTTTAATTTCAGCACTCATGAGGCAGAGGCAGAGGCAGGTGGATCTCTGTGAGTTTGAGACCAGCCTGGGCTATATACTAAGGCCCTGTCTCAAAAAAAACATTCAAAGTTTTATGAGAAGTTTCATTTTAGGTAACCATGACCATGAAGCAACAACTTTCCTAACTCAAAACATACAATCTCATTAACAAAATATAGTCAAAGTAAAATAAATCTGAGTAAGTAAACTGGATTATTTTGCATATATTATGTTTAAACTGGTTTTCTTGCACAAAGTCTCCCATTTTGTTTCCTTTAATTTTTTAGTTAACTTTTTAAAAAAGATAAATCAAAGTAAATTTTGAAAAATCAGTTTTAGGACAGTCATTTAAAATATCAATCATCAGGATTGTTAACATACACTTATAATCCCTACACATGAAGGTTGGGGCAAGAAGACCAAGAGTACCAGGACAGCCTGGCCTAAACAGAATGTTCCTTTCGGAAAAACAACAAAATAATAAGTTCACAGAATTTTCACCCAGCTTACCTCAACAGACTGGCATAAAATCAGTAGGGACAGGTACAAATAAAAGATGTTAATATTTTCTTTTAGAAATGATGAAGTATTATAGAGAGAACATAAATTCAACAAACTAAATATCTGATTAGCTTATTTTTAGAATACACATTAGGATAGCAATAAATAAACATATCAGTGAACTGCCATTCTTGTAAGATCTGTGGGCTGAAATTATAAACAGAAATGAGTTTTAAGAGAGGAAATTATTATCCTTTTCTCATTCTTTCCACGTGCAAGGAAATGCAAATTATGCCTAATTTGCTGAGTTAGCCAATGAATCCACCAAAAACTTGCAACACAGCTAGAGAAGAGAAGGAAAAGCAGTAATGTGTTTGGAGTCTATGTTCTTACCAATATGCTGCTGTAGAGCCCAAGAGGAGTTTGCACGAGTAGAGAGCATCTTTTCAACAGCTGGTGGAAGTCTCTTCCAATTACAGAATTCCAAAATGAAGATAAGGATGTCATCGCTGACTAAGTCAACCCTACATGAGCAGCATGTTAACAGGACATCAAACACAAAATATTACTATATCTAATTAATATACTATAAACAAATACCATGCTTCTATTTTTACAACAGCTTTAAGGATGAAAGCAGACAAAACAAAGGCACAGAAAGTATCATATAACCTAAGGCAAGTTCAGTAGCTACCTCTACAGCTACAGGTTCCTAGAAACTGTGCTGACTGTGTATAGCTGTTCAAGAGATGATGAGAGGAATCTCTACTCTCCTAAAGAACAGGAACTTCCTTTCCCATTGGAAAGTACCAGTGTCTTCAGTGGAATGCCATTATCTCCTCCAAGTTGAGCTCGCTTGTAAAATGTAGCTTGGCCATCCTTATAGACACAAAGCAGTCCTGAAAGGATAAAGCCCAAGCATCTTAACTCACTGCTATCTTGAATATACAAGAAAGATGGTTTTTTTCTACCCTACTCCCAGGAGCTGTACAGCTATTCTAAGAATGTCTTCATTATACATTAGGCCTTAATGGATGTACCTGAATAAAATTCATCATTAAGGATGGAAGAAGGGGTTCCATATTAACAGCTCTGTTCTAGTTTGTTCTTCTGCTGCTTTGAAAAACACCACGACTGAAAGCAACTTGGGAAAGAAAGGGCTATTTCATCTTACAGTTACAATCCATCACCAAGGGGAAATCAGGGAAGGAACCTGGAGTAGAGACCATAAAGAAATGCTGCTTACTGGCTTGCTCTCAGGCTCATGTTCAATTTCCTCCATTATATAGCCCACACCTGCCTGCCTAGAGATGGCACTGCCCATATTGGGCTGGGTCCTCTTATATTAATTAGCAACAAGAAAATGCCCCATAGACATGTCCATAGGTCAATCTGATGGAGGAAATTCTTCAACTGAGGTTTCTTCTCAGGTGTGTCAAGTTGTCTGACAACCAAGATTAGCCATAACAAGTTCTTCCTTGTTCTTTCAAATAATATTGTGAACCAATCTGTTCACAATAGGCTTCCTCAAATGTTATAAGCACTTGAAATCTAAAGGAAAGAACACTGGTTTAAAGAAAAGTCCTGATTTCTAATACCACCTGTGCTACTTAGAAATAAATCTAAATTCTTTAAGCCCTAGCTCCTTTCTTAACACATAACCTACCTCTTTCAGAAGATTTTTGTAAAAATAATATACAAGAATACAGTAAACATACTTTAAAAACTATAAACTGCTATGTAAATATTTTGTTACTAAAAATGATCTGAAAACATCACTATTACATTTTCCAGAAGAACTTATTAACATTACACACATAAAATTTACTCAAAACTTACATTAAAATGACTGGTTAGAATATAAAAATTACTTGCCAGCTTATTTTTTATTACACTTATTATGTGTGTGTGCATGTATACAACATGTGCCACACTATGTAAGTGGCGGTCAGAGGACAACTTGCAGGAGTCAGTTCTCTCCTTCTATCCTGTGGATTCCAGGTCATCAGGCTTGCTGACAAGCACCTTGACCTGCTGAGCCATCTTGCCGAGCCATCTCACTGGCCCACTTCCCAAATTCTTAACTCTCTGATACACATACATGGAGGAACTTAAAACAACACAATTGCCTTAGAAAAATATTTTACTTCTCAATTCTCAGTAAAATGAAAAGTTATCAGGAAACACTGAGAATAAATAAAATGGTAAAATATATTCCAAGGCACTCTAGGAGCAAACCAAAGATTACTTGATTCTGCATCCTCACTTCTTTTTTAATGGTTTCATTTTCTGCCTTAACGTGCTTTAGGTCTCACTATGACCCAACACAAAGCCATTCTGATGCAGTCAACTGAACACACCCAAGAAATAAATCTGTGTGCACAGCTTTAGTTAATATAATGATGGTTTAGTTTACCAACACTACTAATGCCACTAAAAATGTATTGCCATTATACTACACTGACCATTACACTGAACAAAGCAGTTGTATAATCATAAACAAGTGACAGTTAATTAACAAAATGCACAGAAGACATTCACTTTCTATTTTTCTCCCATTACATTCTGGAAGAAGGAGGGGACTTTGTCTTGTATGTTAGTTGAAAAATATTTCAACATGGTAGATTATATTGTGGCAGGCAATTACTCAGCCAGATAAATTTTTAAGACTGTTTAAGACGAGCATATAAGCAATACCTAGGAAATACATTTATAATTCACATGACAAAGATTAAGCAACAGACTTACATGTGATATTAATAAGAAACAACCAAAATCTACTTTAAAGTATTACAATTTTTATGGGAGAATTTTTCTATAACAGCTCTTTGAATATAAATTCAATCACAGGAAGCAAAACATTTATCATATTCGGTAAACACTGACTTTATCCTTTCAATGAAAGGTTTGTGAACAAAAATGTGGCCACGTTAAGCATTTTCATTTCTAAAATGAAAATTTCCATTGTACTCTTTTCTAATGAATATAAAGAACCTAAAGTGACTCTTTGGTAGTGAAATATACCTGAAATTGTCATTCTCAGTTCAGAATGCTAAACTAATTTTAAAATAATTCTACTGTTTAATTGATACTTAACTATTCTTATTTCAACACATCCAACAAATACAATACATACCCAGGAGCTTATCGCCACAAAAATTCTCTATTTATACCTAGAATATCTGAACTTGGAAAAGGAGAGTATATTTTACAGAATCTTAGGATTGAGTTCAATAATTCACTTTCCTACCAAGAATTTACATAGTTGGCTGGGGAGAAAGGAAAACAGGCAATGTTTAATTCCTTTCCTTTGGGTAAGTTTTTCCCAATTTGGGAGTAGGAAGGAACAAGAAAAGTTGGCACAAATCCCCCAGGTGTGGCAACAGACAGAAGTCCTACCTCATTTCTGTGGCTATACAAGGTTAAACCACCACAGAACATAGATTTGAGCCTTCTCACAGGACACAGTAGAGTCAAAACTAAGCTCTAGAACTAACTCTGCACAAGCTTGGGCAATTGTCTTGAGCACTGTGCCTCAGTTTCCTCCTCTGTAAAACAGGGATAATATTAATACTTCACTTTATAGTACATGAGCCAGCATCAGTAAAAAACTTAAAGCAGTGCCTAGTTGTCAGGCAGTATTCTAAATTTGGACTAAAACTACGAACCAGAAAAGATTGTGAAGGTTAAAAGTATAGGGCAAATCATGTGGAGTCAGCTAATGTTTTCAGGTGAGGAGCACAAGGAATGTGGTGAAGGAAAAAGTGGGTGCCCTGAGGACAGACACTACCTAGAGTTAGTCACAAAGGAGAACAGGACTGTCAGGGCTGTCCTTAGCTATCTCATGTGTCAGAAAGTGAGTCCTAGAATATGAGGGGCAGCTACTAGCAGCCAGAGACCACAGCTAATCATGAAGTTCAGTAAGAAGTTAAGGTCATTTAAATAATTTTTTGAGTTCCATGTAACAGCAATGTAAAAGTGAGAGATTAAATACTGCTAAATCAAAGCCCATAGAGAAACAGAGTCCACTGTGTGAAAAGCAGAGTTCACAGAAATGTAAAATAAACTCACAAGTAGGGAATGCTAAGCAGTGAGTAAAGGCATTTGCTACCAAGTCTGATGATCTGAGTTCAATCCCTGGAACCAACATTTGAAATTTGTCCTCTGACCTTCAAACTCCCACTATGGTACATGCACATACCCTCAGACAGACAGACAGACAGACTCTCTCTCTCTCTCTCTTTCTCTCTCTCTCTGTCACACACGTACACACACACATATACACACACACACGTGAATAAATTGTGTAAAAAAATATGCCTACACCCCAAATACGATCTGAGAAGAAAGATTTGAATGGCAAGATATCAAACACTTCAGTTGAAATGCAAATCAAGTATGTGTCTAAATTTTCTTAGTGAATGGTAGTTTGGAAAGCACAAAGCTGAAGACTAATAGATGCTTCACTGAAATGCCATCAAACAACGTCCTCTACACTTTGCTAGAGACTTTGATTCTACTTTCTCATTTGATTGGCATTATCGGGCCAAGAGCACCCTCACTGCTGCAGCTCCCTGTGCTGTATAACAACTTCTGCTAAGGGTGGAGGCTGGCAGAAACTGTCTTCTTCTTCTTGACCCCACAAAATCCTGACTCAACATTCATATATAATCTATTATAGCGATGCCTGACCTTCTGAGAAACTACCAGAACCAAACAAGTTATACCTTCAGATACTTCAAAAAACATTATGTATTACAAGAGACAAATTTTCAAAAGACAAGCTGCTATTGGGTAGGAATTATCAATCTAGTTTGGTGAAGAATGACAGCAAATTCCAAAGTACCTACAATCATTCTTTTTTCTGTCACAGCTGTTTTAAATGGGTTATGCATAAGCAAGCTAGGCATAGTGGTACATGCCTGTAATCCCACTACTCAGGAGACTGAGGCTTATCTGGGCTACTGCGAAAGATTCTGTCTCCAAAATGAAAAGAAAAAGAATAAGGAATTGTCAAAAAAGAAGAGAATCCTCAGAAGTTCTGAGTTAGAGTTTGCTGGCCACTCTCCCTTTCCTACCTTCTTCCAGTCACCTCTTCTAGAACTCTGTGCTTTAAACTCAACTTCTCTGTTTGCAGCTCCCCCACCCCCAACTCTACCCCAACACAGCTGTGAGAGTCAATACATACACGCACACACAACCACTGTCCTAACACAGAAATATCACAAAATTAGGAGTGTGATAAAGGTAATATTGTTACTCAAAAGGGAGGGCTCACTAGTAGAATTTCTTACCAAGAGCTGCTGCAAAGTAGAATCAAGGGGTCGAATCCAGCAAGCAGGAGATGTGGCAACCATTCCTTGTATTTTGTTTGTGCTTTAATTGTGTAGCTTATAAATTCAGGTGTATGATTCCAGGGTGCTAATGGGCAGCCTCTCTTCAAAAAACAGCGAAATATTGAAAACTTCTCATACTTGAGGCAATATGCCAAGTGAAGTTCATTAAGCTGGGCTCCATACTTCAAAAGAATATTCAATATTCCAAGGAACTTACAGCTTCACCAAAAAGACAAAAAACAAATAAAAAAAGTAGTTAAAAAGTTAGTCCTTTATGCAATAAATAATTCTTAACAAACTGTTAATAGCAGTTACTACTTGGGAACAAGGATAGTAGTTGGGCTACTCGATGGTACTGACAAGCCAGAAACTGAGATGAGGCAATGAAGAAAAGGACGCTTACATTTTAAGCCCACACTCCTGCACTGTTCAAGAGAAAAAGTATTACTCTTATAATTTAAAGCATTTGTCTTAAATAATTTTAAACCATCATTGACAAAGAAAACTTCTCATTATAATACATTATACAATTAACCATGTCTCCAACAAAATACTTCCTTAAAAAGTTAATAAAGAAGATTGAGTCTTCCTAAAAATCTCCAAAATATTATGTAGACTCGGCCAATCTCCCTCTTATAGACCTCTCACAACAAATATGCAGGCAGGTAGGTGGGGGATATAGATTCACGAAAACTTTTTGAATGAACAAAACTTCAACTTACAGCTCTGCATTTTAAAATTATTCTGCTTTAGTGGGTAAGAAACCCCAATGCAACCCAAGAAGTTGTGGCAACTGATGACTGCTGGGAGGGCAGAGACAGTCTCTTTTAAGGATAGGACTCTGCAGGTTAACTAAACTCCAGTGGATGGACCCACATTGAAGGACATTTGGGGACACTAATTAGATTATAGGCCTTATTTTACATATATATATATATATATTACATTAAATTGGGTGGGGGCATGTAAATAGGGGAGATATAATACCATCAAATTATATTGTATGAAAACCACAAAAATTAATTTAAAAAATTACTCTTCCTTATAAAGCACTCTTATGGACTAATGGTATATCATTTTTATCTACTAAATTTGTTGCCTAAAAAAAGAAAAAAGATTATCCAATACTGATAAGTTACAGTGAAACTGACTTAAAGTAGGTATAACCCTTATTTGAAAGATCTGTTTGGCAAGATTATCAGAACAGGTTGGGTTACAAATTAAAGAGCACAGACTCAAGCCAGCCACTTAACTATGTAACACTAGGTAAGTTACTTCACTTTTCCAGCACACTAAAGGGAGCAGAGTGCCTTTAATCCCAGCACACAGGAGGCAGAGGCAGGTGGATCTCTGTGAGTTCAAGGTCAGCCTGGGCTACATAGTGAGTTCCAGGCCAGCTTGGGCTACAGGGAGACCCTGTCTCAAAAAAGGCCAAAAAAAAAAAATAAATAAATAAAGTATCCTATTTACTATTTACTTAGGTAAATATATTCATATAAATTTTGTTCAGGTAGATTTTGGGGGGGGGGGGCGCTCTTTTTGTAACCCCAGCTGGCCTGGAACTCACTATATAGACCACTATATAGTCCTGTAGCACTGTTTTTATGAATGCCTGCTTTTTTCTTAGTACCCATTGGCTTGGTATATTTTTTTTCATCCTTTCACCTTAAGATAGTGCCTGTCCTTGAAAGTGAGATGAGTTTCTTGCAAACAACAAAAAGATGAATTTTAGCCAGGTGTGGTGGCGCACACCTTTAATCCCAGCACTCAGGAGGCAGAGGCAGGCAGATCTCTGTGAGTTCAAGGCCAACCTGGTCTCCATAGTGAGTTCCAGGACAGCTGGGGCTACAGGGAGACCCTGTCTCAAAAAGACCAAAAAAAATTTTTTTTAGATTAAATGAATAGAAAGTGTCTACAACATGGTCATGTGAGAACAACCACGTCTTAAGACATAAAACTTGAAATCAGGGTTAAAACAGTTAAGACATTAGATGTGAGGAAAATAAAATGTCTTTTAAGCCATATATTTGTTTACTTCATTTGTTGTCCAATTTAGTTTTAACTTTAAGATGAAAGTCTTTGTTATTAAATCATTAGTACAATAATTAGAAAAATCCATTATTCCATAATGTTCATAAAATGTATAACTCTGCTGTTTGCACACTATCTTGTTACTTGCTCTTGATGAGAAGTCTGCCACCATCTACCATCACTCTTGAAAACACCCTTGTATGTATGCAATTTTTTCTCTAGCTGCTTTGACATCAACTGACGATTTGTTGCCAGCAGTCTTGCACTACAGGACACCCTAAAGAACAGCTCCTGGAACTGATGGTTCTAAACACTTAACACTAATTTATCTCAACCACCTTGACCTCATTTAATTAGGCTCTCATTTTGCCTGTATTTATTACCTGCTGATTCTGCTTACATAAGGGGCAAGATTACATATGGACTGCTGAACATCTTCCAAAGTGTAGAAGGAGCTGTGGGAAAAGCTCAAGACACTGCCTCATCACAAATATGATATATAGTTCCCAGGAAGTATGGCAATTTCCTAGGCAACACAGGGACTAAATGAATTCTTACCTCCTGCATTTGAAATCATCAACTTTCTAACCATACATACTTAGGTCTTAAAAATTCAGCTCAGGGGACATACTTTTGATACAGAATACAAGCAAGCACCACTACCTCCCAACAGCACCTTAGTGGAATAAATGTTACAGGTAGCAGATTGTGTTTAGAATACAAACTACAAAACCAAAAAGGCTTTCTTATAAAAATTTCAATGAATCACTTAGACATGTGTTTCACGCTAAGAAAAATTGTAAGGGCAGGGCCAAAAAGCAAATCATCCATCCATCCATCTCTAAAGCATGAGAGAGGCATGTACTCAGGTACTTTGTTATAACAAACTAGTGTATTAAACTAAGTGTGTCATACCTAAGATTTGTCAATCCAAACTAATAACTTCTGTTAGCACCTCCATTCTAGATATAAAAACTGAATCTTAGCCACAAAATAACTGACAGAACTGAGATCATGATCAAATCACATCAAAATCTATTAAAACAGGCTAGTTGTGGTGGCACATGCCTTTAGTCTCAGCACAGAGGAAGCAGACGCAGGCAGATCTCTGTGAGTTCAAAGCCAACTTGGTCTCTGGACATAGGCAGGCCAGCCAAGGCTATACAGTGAGACTCTGTCTCAAAACAAAGCAAACAAACAAAAATCTATTAAAACAGTGTCTATGATGCAGCTAATTTCTGAAATATCTATCATGCAAACTTTATAAATGTTATATAACTTTATAAAATAGTCAAATTGAGGATTATTTTAGAACTAGTTTTATGTTTGCCAAAGTATGTTATATGGAACTTTCACTCCTGAAAAGTAATCCATTAAAAAAAAAAAAAAAAAAGAGGAAAAAAAAAAAAACTATAGAAAGCTTCTATAGTACACAGCAAGCCTAGAAACAGAACTACAGGATGGAGTTACTTTTAAGCACTATGTTAGTTATAATTGGAAATTAAATGGCCAATTTTCTTCAACCTCCAGATACCTTTCAGAAGTACCTTTAAAATTAACACAATGGGACCCACAGGCCTCTCTCCCAGACTAACCCAGCTCCTCAGTGCAGTCCCCAGGAGCCCTTGGGGCTGATGCCTGCCCCCATCTAACTTTGTATCTCTAGGTGGCAGGGCCACCAGCTGCCCTAGACCAGCATCTTTCCTGGGCCCAGCTCCCAGGCCAACCCAACCCCCAAATTCCTGGGGCCAAAATATTTCCTGGAGGGATCCAGACCTTAGGAGGAAGCCTAAGAGCATCTGATCCTCATCTAACTTGGGCCTTTGTGGGAACTCCTGAAGATAAAAGCAATCTGGCCACTCCAATATAAAATCAAAAGAGAACCAGAAGCTTAGATGAACCAGATTTTCATGCCCAAAAAGTAAGCCACAAAGGCACATAAAGTTTACAAAAGGCAGACCTAAACTTGAAGACTTGAGTCTCACACAAGAATCAGGAGCTACAAAAGAAATTCACATGTCAAAATCACAGAGAAAAAAATAACATAAAAAAACAAAATAACATATCCCTTCCAAGTACCAATAGCCTCTAGAGGAGTACAAAGAGAACGCCCTAGAGATACTGCAGAACATGGAACTCAAAAGAACAATTATAAACATGATAAAAGAATTCAGTGAATTTAAAAAACACACAAAGAAATCAAAGAACTGAAGGAAGATAGGGATAAACTTCTGAATGAATTCAGAAAAGAGCTAGAAATATTGACGAATACTCAGGCTGAAATCAAAAAGGAAGTGAAACACTCAGAACGCCAATTAGAAATGACAGGAGAAAGCCTCACCAAGAATGGAATATGCAGGAATTGTGTGACACTATAAAAAGATCAAACTGAGGAATCATAGGCATACAGGTAGAAGAATCCCAAGATAATGGCATGGAACAGATCTTCCTCAGAATCGCAGAAGAAAATTTCCAAAAATTAAAGAAAGACATGCCCATACAAATATAAGAAGCATATAGGACACCAGACAGGACCAGAAAAGAAACTTTCCATGGCACATCATAGTAAAAACACTAAGCGTACAGAACAAAGAGAAACAAGTCACATACAAAGGAAAACCCATTAGTATTACAGCTGACTTTTCAGTGCAAACTATGAAAGACAGAAGAGCCTGGACCAAAGTATACCCAGTTTTAAATGACCACAGTTGCCAACACAGATTACTATACCCAGCCAAAATGTCTATTATAGTAGAAGGGAAAAGAAAAATCTTTGATGACATAAATAGGCTGAGGAATTCATGTCCAAAAAACCAGCCCTTCAGAGAGTTCTGGAAGCAATACAAAGAGCTGAAGAAAGGAATGACTATACCCAAGGGGTTGTAGAAAGAAAACCAATGAAGGTATAGCTGTGGAAAAGTACAGCTACATCAAGAATGCAAACAGAAATAAAAATGACAGGATTCAGAAGAATGAAATTATGTGGCCTGCAAGAAAATAGATGTACCTAGAAATTTATCATATCAAACAAATTAAGTCACACTCAGAAATATAAATATCACATTTTCTGTCAAAAAAAGACAGGATTCAATACTCATCTTCGGTATAGCTGTGGAAAAGTACAGCTACATCAAGAATGCAAACAGAAATAAAAATGACAGGATTCAGAAGAATGAAATTATGTGGCC